ATTCAGTCTATTCCTGAGGCTGTCTGTGTTGGTGAAATATACATTTCCCAAATGCATATGTGAAAATATTGTATTCAATAATTATAGTCATAAATACAATAACAACACAGCATCTGCCATTTATAGAGAAGTCACTGTGTGTGCACTATGGACCGGACACATTGTGTATTTTAACTCATTTAATCTTCATAGCAACCCTATGAGGTGGCTGTGTTATCTCCACTTTCTACATAAGGAAATGGGGGTGACCCCAAAGAATAAATAACCCCTGAAGTTAACAGCTGGAAAGTAGAGGAGCCAGGGAATTGCTAGACTGCCTCTCCTCAGAGACCTAACCACAGCAAGGAAAAAACGTTTTAAAATTCATGAAGCGGAGCTCTATTTGCACTTTTGTTGTGAAGGAAAATAATTTGTTAGTTAATGCAAGAAGACCCTATGGGACAATTAAGACAGTAAACACCAACTGAGCCTGAATCCCTATTGCAAGGTACAGACCTCCTGAAATTCAAGAACGCTATGTATGACACACACTAATGAATCCATGAAAGGTAGTGAATTTTACTAATTAGAGCTTACAGGAGAAATATAAACAGGCTCGAATGAATGAGTTTTCAGGCTTGCAGAGAGCCATTTGTCTCCCTGTCTTTCTCTCTCTCTCTCTCTCTGTCTCTCTCTCTCTCTGTCTCTCTCTCTCTCTCACATACACACGCACACACACACACACATTAGATACAAAAAGTATACAAATGTTAATCTGTTGTTGTTTTATGATGGTATATCCTTGTGAAAAGGAAATAAACCTGTTTTTCTAAGATATTTAAATTTCTCTCAATAAATAAAGGATAAAAGGAAGGAATAAAATACTCCAGATTCAAAATTTCTCCATCCTTCCAAATTAACAGCATATCTAAGTGACTGAGTATTGATGTGACCACACTAACAGACGGGTAAGGATGTCATGGAATGTTTGAGTCTCTTTGGACACCATCCAGTGTGCTGACCTAAGACTGCAAGCCCCATGCCCAGACACGTAGTTCTCTTCAACCATGTGCCTGGTCAGCACTGTCCCCAGCTCTTGGTCTTCATTGACACACGAACACCCTCCCTTTTCTCTGCCACAGAGGTGTAAATGCCAAAAGGTCAGCTGTTAGGACTTGTAATTCTCATCTAAAACCTTACGTTGGAGGACAACCCTACAAGATGACTTGTACACCGTTTGTCTTTAATAAGTAGATATAAGAATGGTAACCTTGGCTGTGGTAGTCCCCATGCTGAAGTAATTCCCCACCTCTGGGACGTGAGTCCACCCTTGGTTTACTGACAGTTAATAAATAGGAGAGAAGTCACAAAGGGAAGTACAAGATACCGGGTGAAAATTAGCTCAGAATGGCTTCAGGGGTTTGGCCCTGAAAACCACTAAACTTATTATTTAATACCTATTATTTGGAAAATTATTTTTTCCAGTTTTTGTATTCATAAACAACTTTAAACTTTTTATTCTGGTTTGCAGTTTTTACCTCCTTTCATCATTTTACCAGAATAGATTACTTTTACAGCTAAATTTTCATATAGATGCTTAACAAAGAAAATAAATGCAGAGGAATTTGGATTTTAGAGTCCCCTGAGTGATAGCTCATATTTTCATAAGTACATAGAAAAATAAAATACAGCAAAGGGATGAAAGATAGTTGTAGAAGCTTTGAGTAGTATTTTATACACACACAGAATTCTCTACAAAAACACTAGGCTATTTTGAATTTCGACAGTACTCCATATGTAAATTCAAGCAATTTGCAAGAATGAAATAAATACCTATTTTAAAACCACCACCACCAAAAAAAAAAAACAGCCACAGAGATTTGAGTACCCATCTAGCAACAGAATATCAACACTGATTGTTGCCTTCAACCAGTTGTTGCAAAATGACAGCAACGCACTGAGTAACTATGACTCCTGTGCTCATGGCCAGACAAACATGGTGGCATGCATGCCACTGGTGTATTTACAAACTGAATACTGGAGTTACTCATTGAATGTCACTGAAGGACCCATCAAAGGCTTCCTGTTAGCCAAGGCCCTTCAGCTGTAGTCAGTGGATTCCCACTTCCAAGTCCCCTGGTGTAATTATAGCATCAGACCCCAGGTGAAACCTACTGTACTGAAGGTCAGTATTTTGTTGCTGTGGACAGTAGGAGGACATTCAGAAGATGTCCTCTGAAGGCCATGAATGGTATTAGTAGGAAGTCTTACAGAAATACTTACTTTACCATAAGTGTGTTGAGCTTGACAACACCAGAGGTGCCAGGAACTTTACTGCATTTCTTCCTCAGGGACCCAGATAAACAAGGAAACCTTCCTAATGTAGAACTCACTTGTTCAAGGAACTACTTAGCAAAATGGCATGTTGTGCCACCTAAAAAAGCAAAGAGTCAGCATACTTGGACAGAGGTGAGAATCCCGGAGGTCTTCAAGTTCTGCTCCTTTGCATCCATGCTTTCCAGTGCTGTTCTGCAGGCAGAACTGCTTGAGTTCTTTCTCAGGGAATGAGAGGCACATTTCAAAAACAAAATAAAGCAACCTGTTACACTTTTTCACCTGCCACCCTCATTGCCTACCCAAAACAACACGAAGACACATTCCTTTCTGATGTAGTCTGATTTTTCACCCTTTGCCCATGGTCTGAGTATGGTGGTACATACTCAGGTAAGGTAGGAGGATGAGGATCTAAGGCCAGCCCAGACAAAGTTAGCATTGGACCCTACCTAAAAAAGAAACTAAAAGCAAAAGGACTGAGGTATGGCTCAGGTGGGAGAGCTCTTGCCTAGCAAGTGTGAGGGCCTGAGTTCAATCCCCAGTACTGCTAAAAAAAAAAAAAAAATTCAAATGGTTCAGGGCCCTTGGGACCTTAATTACCTGTGTAGACAGAAAGGTGTTTGCAACCAACCAAATGCCAGGCTCTGTGATCCTACCCAGGGATTGCTTAAGAGAGGAAGCCCTTTGACCCATTTCCTCACCTTCTGGGGGGGGGGTGTTGATGGGCCATAAAGAGCCCAGCCATAATTCTCACTCCTTTGGGGAAGGTCCAAAGAGGAGATTCATACTCACTCCTTAATTATACTTCAGATATGCACTATTTCCGAGCAGTGATCTCTCCGAGAATTTTGTAAATGTAGCATCCTCTTGCTTCATTACACTCTATTACCTGGGAGCTCTACATAAAACTTCATGTAATGTGCTTACTGATCACAGTTTATGAATTTCATTTTTTCCTCAAGAAAAAGGAAAACAACATAAAATGTATGGTTTGAGTCAAGGACCTCACAGATACATCTCAGTTTTCAAAGAATGAAACCAAGGCCCTGGGATGGTGTGGTTTACCTGATCACACAGCTGGTTAGTAACAGTCTAGTCCAGCTAGAAGTCTTCTTCCCATGGGTATCTTAAGACTGTCAATGGCAGCTTCAACTCCCCCAGGTTCCCAGGAGGTGCAGAGTCTAATTTAAACCTACAAATAAGTGGGACTAGTATGAAGAATGTGGGGGGTGGTGTTGACTTTTTGCCTGCAGTACTGTTCTTCCACTTTCTCCAAGTCCAAGTTGACAGTGAACACATTGGGAAATTTCATTTTTGAAAGAAACCATTCACCTGAGCCCTCTTATAAATGGTCTGACCACATGCTTTTAGCCTTTCATTCTCCTGAGTACTTATATGAAGAAGCCACTGTCATGGCTTGTACAAGGCTAGTATAGTTTTGAGTAAAAAGGTAAAAACTGGGAGTTGTTCACGTGGTACTTATAGGAACAAGAGCTATGGAGAAGGTGTGCCAAGGAAAAGGCAAGTGCATGCAAATGGTCGCTGTCAAGTTGTGTCTGGAAGTGTAAACATTATGACTTATGTCAGCTGAGGATTTTGGCCTGTCTACCCAGACAAGAGTGGACTCCACCTAAAGAGGATTGGAACTAGGAAATAGATTTGAGGTCAACTTTGGGAAAAGCAGGTGGATTCTTAGCCTTCCATGAAATACTGAGATAATTGCTCTGATGTTTAGTTTTCCCTGTTCTGTGGAAACCTGGCCTCAGTACAAATGGCAGGCAGTGAATGTCACCGTGAGGCCAGAACTCTGTACCATTACCGCGTATGCTCTGTGACCATGATTAGTCTCATTTTGAGATGTAATGGTTAATTACATTAAAAAAAATCACCCAGATGAGGTTTTTAGGTGGAAATTCATGCACAAACACTCCAATGTCGCCACACTTTACGGGTTACTAATTCTGTTTTTCTTAAGAATGCTTGGAAATGCAGGGTGCCCAAGAGCTATGAGTGTTTTTATGGAAGAAATACTCTCTCAGGAAGTCGAAGAAACAGAGGCTGGTTAAAGTTATAGGATCTCCCATACTTCCACCCACTACCTGAAGACAACCCAGCCTCGCCTTGGCTGCCGTGTCAGTTCTAGCTTCATGCACGGTGCCCTGCTAGGAGCAACATGCTTAGGACCTGTGGATTGCCTCTGCCCGGAGTGAAGTCTGGCATGGGGAGTAAAAAAGCGAACTTGACCGTAATCTCCCTAAGTCATTCATCTTTGTTGGATGAGGCAACACGAGCATCCCATGCTTTCTCATCCACAGAACATGCTTGATGATTACTTAATGAGTGTCTCACAAATACATCTTTCCATGCCCTGTTCTTGGAATACAAAACTCGGATTTTTACCATCTACACATTGTCGATTTCAATGAGTATATAATCAGATTGTCCAACTGAACTCTTGTACTCTTCCTGAGGGCTGAATCACAGCACACAAACTTCTAGCAGATGTTACCCAAAAATCCCACTGGGATTCCCAGTGGTTCAACTAAATTATTTTCAGCGTCTTCATAAGCAATTTCAAGATAGAATTGGTTCCTCTGAAATTACCTGATCTATTTAAAAAGTCATCTTTGTTTTCTTTTTTTTTTTTTAAGGAGCTAAAATTTGGAATTGTTTTTGTTTTGTCCCAGGAAAACCTCTTCTTTGTGATGGAGTATCTCAATGGCGGAGACTTAATGTATCACATCCAAAGTTGCCACAAGTTTGATCTTTCCAGAGCCACGTAAGAGCCCTACTAAGTGTTTGCGGGATTTCCGTGTCCTTCCTAGTTTCTGTGAACCCGTACCCAAGAATATTATTCCCACATGGTGTTTTTCTTGCTTCCTCACTAGGCACACCTGAATCCCAGGGCCACGAGAACCCTTGGGTATATTATCAAACAAGCTAACCCTTTTCCCAGTTTGTGAAACTGAAATTTGTGTCGGTGTGTTTCATTTTTCCATGTTTGGGAAACAAGTATTTAGCTTCACAAGGAAATGGCCCACTTCACATAATTGAACACAGAAGCAAGCACTTTGCGATTTGGAAAAAAGGCAATAGAATGGAACACAGATCTTCAAGGTGCCCCCGGGATGAAGCTTTTAGCTGAGGCCTTTCGTGGGAAGTTCAATGTGAAGGATTTGGCTCTTGGGGCAGGAGAAGCAGGAAATGGGAAAAGCCACTTTCCCAATTTGAGAATAAATCCTCCATGCTAGCATGGAGCAGGCTGTGTTTACTGGGTGGGACTGTAGCTAGGTCCCAAGGCACCTGCGAGCACCACCCCCCATAGGTCTTACTTCCCAAATAGTAAACTCACTGTGACATTCAAGCAGAATCATGGCATTGGGCTCATTTAAAAATAATAGCTTGCAGGCTAGCTGGTTTTTTGGCTTGATGCTCAGTCATCTATCACTCCCCTCTTTGTGAACATACTGAGTGGTTTAAGCCGAATAAGCAGAAACATGGACTTGGCCCAGAAGCTCCTACAAGACCCCAGCTGAAATGGCTCTTTTGTAACATGTAGTGGGTAGTACCCACCAATCTCCAGGAACTCTCCTCAGCAAAGCACCTGCTGGGCAATTTTGGTGTTAGAAACACATTTGGCCCACTTTCCTCTCCATGCTTTCTATCTACTGTGTCCTAAACCGTTCCAAGAGGGAGATTTTTGCATTCTTCCATAAGACAGAGCAAATTTCATTTCCAGGAAGCTCTGCCTCATGTCTGCCCTAATCCCACTCGAGATACGTAAACTCATTTCCTTTAAGCCTGTCACCACTGAAGATGAGGAGTACCTAATCTCCTTCCATCTTCTGATACCCTTTTCTCTGCTCTTGGACTATATTTCTTGCCCAGGCTAAATACTGTCAATATGGAAATAAACCAGCCTGGTCTATTTGGAATGGCCCCCACTCTGTGAGCTCCACACAGTTTAAAATAAAGGGGGAAATTATTTTCCTACCATACAATACTCTTACATTTAAGGTTTATGTATGTTTTATTAATTTAAAAAGTCATTGCAAGCACAGTAGTTTAAAATATAAAGATAAGCAGTGATGGGGATGGGGACCAACTTAAGATTCCAGCTCTGTTTCATACCCTCAGAGCTGAGGCTGGAGATGTCATCTTAGGTATAGGATGGATGACATTTTCCCTGTTAGAATTAAACAAAATTATTTGTGTATACCATTTAGTTGAGCACTGACTGTACATAAAATATCAGACCAGGTTAGGGATTTTTTTATGTCTGCCAGATACCTTTATAACATTTTTAATTGTGGGTGTCTAGACACAGTGGGGTGTCCAAAAGTAAGACATTGGAATTGTGTTTTGGGCAAGCCTGGTAAATCCTTGCTCTCTGCAGATGCCTTCTGGATTAGGGTTTTTTTTTTTTTTCCTGGTTATAACATTCATGTTGATCCTTGGCTCTCTTTCCCCAGGTTTTATGCTGCTGAAATCATCCTGGGTCTGCAGTTCCTTCACTCCAAAGGAATTGTCTATAGGTAAATTGTGCTTTTTGGATACAAATACTAAGCTATTGTGTTTTCTAGCCCAGTTAATTTAATCATGCACTTGAGTGACATGAACTGGAAACAAACAGCTCATTTCCAGTAGAAGTAATGTTTACAGCAAAATGCGTTCTAAGGCCTCTTCAGTAGCATACAAGCCAGAACAGAACCCACTTTCAGTAGCGTTTGTAGCCAACTTAACCCTTAGAAAGAAGGGAGGTGTCCACATTACACCCCAAAAGTCAGAGTAGATACATTGTACTCATTATCTTGCAGTCCAGTACTAAATCCTGACTTCCACTCAAGCACGTTAGATGCTTCTGACTTGGAGGCAGCTGGCTCCACTATTGTAGACAAAGGCATTTCCAACAGCACTGAGTAGGCGTGTTTCTTAATTGTAAGCAATAATGACTAACTGGTGGTCTTATCTTAAAATGCTTTTATTTAAAGGATGTTGAAGCTTGTTGGGTCTCTGGGTATGCTGAGCATAGACTGGGGAGTAAATGGGATGATGGGAAGTCTGAAGGGCAGGAAACAGAAACCACAGCCAGTGTATCCCAGCACAAGAACAGACAGAGTCGCGTGTGATTGCTGCTAGTAACCACACCACTACCCATTCCTAAGTCTTGTGTCACATCTCCTTTTGCATTTAAAGTCCCTTAGTCACTGGAGCAATGACATGAAGTGTGTGGCTCCTGCAACAGTGAGAGAAGGGTATTTTCTCCCATTCCTACTGCGAGAGGTCAGTGGGTCAGTGAGAAGGGACTGTATGCTTCTGGACATCCACAAAAGAGGAGTATGTCCATTTCAGAGGATGATGCTCACAAGGCAGGTGCATCAGTGAGACCGAAAGTGACTTAGGTCAGGAAATGATAATGGCATTTCAGAAAATGTATTTCTATTTGTTCACAAAACAGTGTGGCACATGTTGACAGTATGACATGCTCCCTCCTTGGACTTAACAGGAACATCAGGGTGGCGTCTAGGAATCCAGGGACGAAATTTTATGAAGTGCTTAGTCTCAGCTAACCATCACTTTAAATTCTTTGTCATCGATCTCTGGCACGCCACTTGCTATTAGTAGAATTATGTGTCTTTTAGGTACAGAAATTTAGCAATATTATACATTTTAGACATTGTTAAAGAAAAAGAACCATTTAGTGAGAACTGCAGTGGGATTTGATAACAACCAAATAAGAAACTGCTGTCTCCAAAGCAAGAAGGTTCTAGACTTAAGTCATCTTTCCTTCTGGTCCTGATTCTTACTCTCTTTTTCACCCATTCTCTCTCATTTCCTTCCACCACCCTGCTTTCTCTCTCATTTGTTCCCTTTCTACCTCTGTTTGGCCTCCTGTTTGCTTTGGTTCACCAAAAAATGCTTGTAAAATGCTTTCCTTCTGGGGGAAGGAAGTGCTTTCGAAACACACCCCTATGAAAACCTTCAGTTCTACAGTCTGTAGAAGTGCACAAAACACCTCCTTCATCCACTTTCATGAATCCAGAATTTCTCTATTGTACATTATCATTTCATCCTCTGCTGCCAAAACCCTGAGATGACAGCTATTGTACTTCAGTCTTCTTTTCTCAAATCATAATTGAGAAAGTAATTAACATACAGAACTTTAAATATCAGTTGTCAGGTTTCCAACACACTATATATTATGAGGGAAAAAGAAGAAGAAAAAAGAAAAGCCCTGGAAAGGAGGATGACTGAGCTGCTGGAGACCATGACAGATTCATAGTAATGGCCTAGAGTCGCCAATAAAGGTTTCATTGTGTTTCACATGGATAGCTGCAGATGGCAGGCTGTGTAAAGCTATGATTAATACCGAGACTTTAGTGTTTACAAAGTGTGCTGCCATTATCTGGAAAATCCACAGGGAGGAGGGATCTCTCCATTTCCAGAGGTGCCCCAAGCAGGGACTGCTGTATTTAGCAACACAGAACTGAACACTTAGGCGAGGTTTGGAAAGTCAGGCTTCTTGTCTGTTTTTTTGGTTTTTTTTTTTTTTCCTGTTTGTTTTGTTTTTGTGTGTGACTGGGATTTGAACTCAAGACTTCATGTTTGCAAAGCAAGCACTCTACCATTTGAGCCACACCTCCAGTCTGAAAGTCAGGCTTCTTAAGCAGGCTCACTGAATATAATTTTATATATCTATAAAATAATAGGTTAAGAAGTTTATTTTGATCATTTCAATCCTCAGAAAACAGAAATATTCACTAGAACAGTATATGAAAACCTTGATCAAGATCCATGTTTTTTATTTCTCTCTTTAATCTGTAAATCCTATGACACCTAAAATGTACTTGTACCTCAGTACTGAGTAGGTTAAGTGGGGTGGATGGATGGATGGGTAGATGGGTGGATGGATGGATGGGTAGATGGGTGGATGGATGGATGGGTAAGTGGGTGGATGGATGAATGGGTAGGTGGGTGGATGGATGGATGGGTAGGGGGTGGATGGACGGATGGGTAGGTGGGTGGATGGATAGATGGGTAGGGGGTGGATGGATGGATGGGTCGGTGGGTGGATGGATGGATGGGTGGGGGGTGGGTGGATGGATGGGTAGGTGGGTGGATGGATGGATGGGTAGGGGCATGGATGGATGGATGGGTAGGGGGGTGGATGAGTGTGAGAATGGGAAGGAAACAATAGGAAGGCCAAAACAGGAATCCGGGGTTTTTAAGCTAGAAAGGATCTCATAAAACTAAACCCACGTGCCCCAGTGTGTCTGTTCCTACACACCACAGTGCTTCCTTCTGTCATTTCCTCTTGCAAATTATTGGACACAGAAAAAAAAAAACTAATGAAGGTCCATAAGTAGCTTTAATATCTCAATATGTACCCATTTTAGGGATCTTAGTCTTACCATGCATGGAAGTCATATTCTTTCAGTCTTCTTTTATACCAATAAGAAAGAATACTGGGTTTGTTTATTATACTCATGAAGTTGTAGGAGATCCTTGAAAGGCATCATCAAATAGTTAAAATCGAGTATAATCCATCATCTTTGTGGTCCACACTGATTGTTGACAGCAAGCTGCCTACAGAGCTTCAGTGCTACTGACATTGAATTTGGTCTGCTTTAAGACATAACTCAACTACTCATGTAATTTGACTGCTCTAAATTTTTAATTTAGTGACTGAATCAGCAAAGGGATCCTATTAGCTTCCTTCATTTGATCACTTAGGGTTATGGGTTTGTTCATAAAACTGTGCATATTAGTTTTGAAAAGCTGCCATAAGAAATTACCACAATCTTGGTGGCTTAAAAAAAACAAAACATTACTTTATTACAGTTCTAGAGGCCAGATGTCTAAAATCAAGGTATGGGAAAAGCCATATTTCCAGCAAAAGGTCTAGAGGAGGATCCTTCTTCACTTCTAGCCTGTGGAAGCTACAGGCATTTCTTACCTTATAGCTGCACCACTCCAGTCTCTGCCTCCATCTTCACATGGCTTTCTCTTCTCCCTATGTGAGTCTTCTCTGTGAGTCCTTTAGGACCCTTGATGAATTTAACCATTCTCCCATAATCCAAGTAAAGCTTATCTTGAGATCCTTAACTTAATTATATTGGGAAGATCTTTTTCCTAATTGAGGTGACACTCCCAGGGTTCTGGGGATTAGGACATGGACATATCCTTTGGGGGCTACCATTCAACCCTCTACAACCTGTAGCACAGACTGCTGAGTGTCCACTGATCGTACACCCTTTTGTTAGACATTGTAGTAGGCACAAAACATGTAGATATTCCAACCCCCAGATTCCCAATAAAGCCACCTTCTGGGTTTTTTTTTTTTTAGGTAGAATTGCATGAAAAGACACAAGGAGTATGTTATTTTAAAGTTCCAAGTGAATATGATTTTAATTAAAAGTACGAGAGCTGAGGGAAGAAAAGACCTCATTAGAATTGAGTAGTGGTATACCAATAAAAATGTCCTATTAGCAAGTGATGTTTTTAAAAGGAGGGAGAGTCTTTGAAAATGGAGAAAGTGTCTCCAGAGAAGGCACAGAAAGAGGAATAAGAAGGTCAAATGGAAAGGTCTGGGGGAGCCCAGTCGTAGACAGAGGTAGAATGTTTGGCAAGCACGCACAGGCCCTGGACTGACCCTTAGCACCAAAAAAAAAAGTTTCCCGAAGGTCAAATGGAGGAAAATTAAATGAATGTGTCCAGCTTTAGGGAACCTGTGGTTGGGCAGTCACAAGAATTGAGGCCATGAGATGTAGAGAAGCAGATGGTTCCGATGTCACGTCTCACCACCTGCTATTGGAACCACAAAAGTAGTGATGTCTTAAAAGATGCCACAAGCCCTGTTTTGGGTCAAATGTAAGTACCAAGGACCTGGAAAATATGCAGACATAGAAAGAGAATAATCTAGACCCTCAAATCTTAATATATCAAACTGAAAGGGGACTTAAGATTGTATTTTATTGATGATAAAATGGGACACAACTCATATTATTTGAGACCATTTCCAAATGGATTATCTCATCTGATGTCACAGGAGACAGGCAGACAGACATCATGACCATGTTTTATGGGAGAGTGATCAGAGGCTCAGAGAGAGGAAGTGGCATGGCTGAGCAAGTAGGCAATAAAGTCAGTTTTGACTCCACTCTGCCTTTTCAGAATGGAAGAGCTTTGCTTATATTGACCGCATGACCTAATGAAAGGCTTCCACTTGCAGTTCTGTTACACTCAATGCCCTTAGAGGTAATTCCTTGAGCAGACAAATGTTCACAGAAACAAAACAGAGCCTTGGACTTTGCAGTTCTTCTCTGGGTCCTGAAGTCCTGAGCGGAGCTATTTGAGGAGTAAGCAGCACAATGCGCTCAGAAAGTTCTGGGCCTTTGGGTTCCATGGCTTTTCCAGTTGGCTCCAGAGAACCTGGCTGGTCTTCTACCCTCATTTCTTACCCCAGTGTAGGTCTGGCTGTGCAAGGAAGCCTTTTTTGAACCTTTCCTGTTCCAACTTGGATCTCTCAAAGTTTCAATGACCCTCTCTCTCACAATCCCCAATATAGCTGGCCTACTTTTCAGAGTAAATTAAAAAATTGATGTGAAGCTTATTATTCCTAGACTGAAGCACAGAGAAACATTTATTTTTAGAATTAGTTAAAAATACATCCTTGTATATTTTAGTAAAACCAGTTTGATAAGAAAGACCAGGTGAGCTTGGTAGAAAGGATAAATACTGGTTTGCATCCTGGACCCCTGGGCTGGCTTTGTGGTCTGGAATAAATCACATCACCTCAAAGAGTCTTTTTTTTCTCATCAGAAAAAAATATGAATAAAAATAATAATAATAATTTGAGATCAAAGGGCTTGTTGTGAGAATCAAATGAAAAATACATACGCAAAGACAAAAACCCAATGTAAATATAGGATCCCATGTCATTATTCTGAAAATCTATGTATAGCACCACAGCTGGATATCTGGCTTCCTAAAGATGACCCCAAAACTATCCTTCAGCCAAATTTCTAGAAACATATGTACATGGCTGTAACCCAAAATGATATCAGTATGGCATTGCATGGGGATTAGATAATGAACCTGAAACTTCAGCATGAGAAGTTAAATGCAAACTATTATTGGACTTACAGGGATAAAATCCCTAAGTCACAATGAAGTTGCATATTTAAGTATATTAAGTATAAATTAGGATTAGGAGGCAAAACGATTAGCACCCTGTAATGGGAAGAGGTAGACACACTAGGCATCTTTAGTCCTGATCAAGGAAGTGTGGCAGTGTTTGAGTTAGGAAGCTGGAGAAACATAACTGACAAGAATGTGAGCTATACTCCCAGTTGAACAGAGATGTTGTTGGCACATGGGCAATGGGGATGTCTAAGCTGGGGAAGTTGGATGACATCAACTCCAGGAATATCTGCTGATCTCAGCTCTATCAAAGCAACAGCAATCCACTCTGGATTTCACTAGCTAACTTACAAAGAAGTAAGTGAAAGAAAGGTGGAGAAAACAAGGGATTGGCTACTCAGGCATGCATTCCAACTAATAATCATTGGCTCATTAATTCATTCTGTGAGTGCTGCTGAGTGCTCAGTGCACAGTATGCCATTGTCAGGCCATCAAAATTCAATAAATAACAAGCAATACGTATTTCTACACTTGTGAAGCTTATGAAGCTTCCATTTCAATAAGGGAGACAGGAAAAACAAACAGTGATGGAAACTTTAGAAGAATTTGAAGTGATGACAAATTATATGAGGGAACCTGAACTTTTGTTTAAGCAAAATCTCAGCCTCATTAAGAAACCAGAACCCAGAAGGCAGACCCTTCGGAAACCTGGGCAGATTCTTGCTAGTTGCCTCTGTTGCATTTTTGAATCATATGTGTCTGTCTCTGCCCTTGGCCTAACCACTTCATTTTTCTCTTGCTTTACAAACAAGTATTCACTTTCTCCTAGGGCATATGCCACAAGCAGCTCTAGATATCTTCTCAGTTCTGGAACCTCACCAAGACAGATTGCTGCTCCATATCGCAATGCCAATATCCCAAAAGAGAAAATGAGCGAACCAGTTGAGTCAGTCCACAAAGGCAGAAGGGACAGGCTTACTTACCTGGCCCTTTGAGAGAGAATCTTCAAGAAGGGAGCCTGAGCAAGGACAAGGTTCCATTAGGGACAAGAACAATGGGTATTCTTACTCCTTCATGCCATGGTAGCTTACTATCAAGAGCAGGTAGCCATCAGCAGCCCCAGATCTGTGGGGAGCAGATTCGAGCCTATGAGAACTGGATGCAATGCAAGATGGTATTTACCTATAGGCCGAGATAGGCACAGCCTCGGCCACGAAACAGGGAAAGGCAGGAATGCAGCTTTCTCCTGTTGCAATGTCATGCCCCTCTCCACGGTGCCACCTTGTTTGCTGCTATAAAAGACCCCTGAAGGAGGAAGAGGGGCTTTTGCCTTTTGGTGCTTTACTTTGGTCTTTCGGGCTTTTGCTTGGCTTTTGGCTTTTTGCTGTGGGGGACTTTTTGCCTTTGAGTATTGGGAAGAAGCTTTTACTTTGGGCTTTATTGGTGTGGGAAGCTTTTGGAAGGGAAAAGAATTATTGAAGGGAAAAAATTGCTGAAGGAAAAAGAATTGTTGAAGGGAAAATGGTAAAGAGGGGTTGATAGAAAGTCTGCACCGAGAACTTTAACATAGGCTTCAGAAAGCAAAGCTGAGAAAGAACCTCATACCTAGGCCTTAGGAAGGCTGAAACTAAAGAAAAGCCAAAGAGAACATGGGACAGTGCACAGTGCAAGTCTAAGGACCGAGACCTCAAGAGTTTTGCATATGCAGTTTTCAGGCAGCTGCTGGCTTGTAAGTTTGAGCTCTGAGAGAGCTAAAGAGAGATAAGACAGTGCAAACCTGGGGGCAAAAGACTTTAAGAGCAATTAAGCTAAAGATAAGTTAAGAGCACAAATGGGACAGTGCAAGCCTAAGGAAAGTGGTTTTAAGCAAGGTTTTAAAAAAGGCTTTAGAAGCGAGGTTTTAAAGAACTGCAAGGAGAAAGGCCTGGAAGAATCAAGATAGAGAAAAGAAGCAATCTGCCAATACACCTGAACCCAACTTTCTGTCTGTCTGTCTGTCCTGTGTCTTTTCTAAAATCTCCAGTTGCCCCAGTTAAGCCCCGTTAGGTCTAGTAATAACCAAGCAAGAGAGAAAACCTCGCTCCAGCAAGGGAGGGAGCATAAGAAACAGTGCCCCCTTCACAGATCCTATCCTTACTATTCTTAAAGAAAGCAGATCTCAGAAAGTACAGACATTTGTGGAGAGATGACAAAAAGGAAAGCAAGCTGGATGTTATATGACAAACTAGAACTCATGCCATTCCATTGACTAAAACTAACAGATAAAATCTTCAAAAAATTGGTGGCAAGTGAAATACCTAAATTATCCTTAAAATCTCAGTTTCCCGGGATGAGAAGGAACTGAGATAATGGTAGTTTGATAGCAGTGACTTTCAGCTGTAATCCCAGCTCCTTGGGAGGGTGAGATAGGAGGATCACAGTTTGAGGCCACCCCAAGCAAAAAAGTTAGTGAGACCCTATCTCAAAGAAAACCAGAGGGAGTGGGGGTGCATATTTGTAATCCAGCTATTCAGGAGGTATAGGTAAGACTATACCTATTTTTGCCAGTCAGGCAAAAAGTACAAGACCCTATATGAAAAATAACTAAAGCAAAAAAGGCTGGAGGTATTGCTTAAGTGGTAGAGCACTTGCTTAACAAGTGCAAGGCCTTGAGTTCAAACTTCAGTACCACCACTCCCCCCCAAAAAAAATACTTGAAGGTTTTAGTTTTTAATGAACTCGATATTAACCATTATTGTGATGAAGCGGCTAAAACAACTAGAGCCATATCTTAGGCCAGAGTAACAAAAGGGGACCCTAATGGGCTAATAGAACCATGGAGTCACACCAGTCAGTTCATCTGCTTAGCGGACATTAACTCCATTCCAAGCACCATGTCTCAAGAAGAAAATTGACAAATTTGAGATATTTGGAGGGTAGAGGCTGGGATGTTGAAGGTTCCGAAAAACACATCAGATGAGGAACAAAGTCCCTGAACTTGGTGAAAGAAAGACAAGAGAAAACTTGATATCACTTCTCAAATATTTAGGGTATCTCATCTAATAAGACTAGAAAGACCAATGGGTAAAGTCATGGGGAGGCATAATTTACGTCGTTCACTTAAAAAAATTGTCAATTATATTTACTTAAGAATAGAATGGGCTATTTGCAGAGGAGAGAGGATTTTTTTTTTGATGTAGCATTCTAGTGTTGAGGGGGAGTCCAGGTTCCAGAGGGGTTCTCCATTAGTTAGGACTAGCCTTCTCCAACTGGACTTGTAATCAGATGCTGTATAATTTACCCACAAAGAAGCAAACAGAGCCATGGTAGAAACTGGCATTCAGTGAGTCTGTCTCTTAGGCCTTTCCCACTGCAAGGTGTGGAAGATACAAAAGCTGCCAGAGGCTCAGGCCCTCACCAGCAGGCCAAGAGACAATGAGAAAATTGAGCATGTGTCACTAGTCAGCAAGTTGCGGGTGTGCAGAGCAGAGCTGTGATCTGGGGAGCAGAGGTCTGCAGGAGGAAGGGCTGGCAAAGATCCCCCTTGAGAATCCCTCTCAGGCTGAAATAAGAGCCACTATGCCCCATGAATGCATTTATTCATGTGAGAGTTTGCTTTGCTTCGCTTCTCAGGGACCTGAAGCTAGATAACATCCTGTTGGACAAAGATGGACATATCAAGATAGCAGACTTTGGGATGTGCAAGGAGAACATGCTGGGAGATGCAAAGACCAATACTTTCTGCGGGACTCCTGACTACATCGCCCCCGAGGTAGGGACATGCTGCCCAGAGGCCCTGCACCCACCCTTCCCCACTCACCAGCAGGGCCAAGGGCTCCCTCCCCATCACATTAGAAGGCTTTCAGTATCTGGGTTCAAAACTTGGACTTGGTGTTTCGGAGTATTTCCTAGATACAGACACGTGTATGGGTCGCTACTTGATCTTATAGAAGATTAAGGACATTTCTTCAGGGCTGGAAGAGTCCAGTGCTCCCTTTCAGTCATGAATCTGACCCAGACCTTCCTTAAAACTTTGCACCAATGAGAAAAAGCAACTGGGGAAGAGCCAGGTGACACAGAAACCCACCAAAGTGAAGTAGTTTGATTGTAGGGACAAAAGAATTGAATGCAGGGGGAAGTGGGGAGGTTACCAAGGTCTCTCCGAGTCCATTTGCTCTTCTGTAAAGTGGGTGTAATATTTTGCCACAATGTTCTTGCAGACATTAAGAGTGCTTCTGAAAGTTAAACCACACCCCAGCCCCATCAATAGTGTAATAGCAAATAATAATAATAATTGCTACCCTAATGTGAGCACCCAGAGAACCAGTATTTGCATGGAAGTCCTCGGTCCACCCAACTAAACCCACCTCTTCCCTTTCTGCCTCAGTGCCTTAGCACTGCATCCTTCTCTTAGTGTAGTACTTGTCCTAGTTGCTAGTGTGTATACGTGTGTGTGTGTGTATGTGTGTGTGTTTGTGTGTTTGAATCTCTCTGTGTGCCTGGATGTTTGCTCTAAAGTCTGGCACTGTCTCCTATTAGCTCTTAAAAAGTTTTTGAAATGATTATAGACTCACAGGAAGTTGCAGGCATGGTATAGCAGTATCTCTCACATGTGTTCTTCACCCCATTTCCCCCAGTGGTTATATATCCCATGACTGTGGTACAATATCAAAACCAGGAAGTTGACACAGGTACAAGATGTATCGATCTCACATGGGTACACTTCAACGAGCTTCCCTTTTATATCCAAGAACCCAGGACAGGGATTGGCACAGTAAAGTGCTAATAAATAGCCTTAAGAAAAATGAATGAATGGCTGAATTAATAAACACACATATGGGGGATGGTGTCTGATAAGGACATTGACAGGCAGACCTCTCGTTTCTTGGGTACAACATCTTCAGCATCAAATCCCTGTTATTGTTCTATTCACTGTGGCAGCTGGAGTCTTAAGAACTATGTGGCTTTGCCCAGCGCACATGTGGTATTTAATTTTACTTTGACCTTATTTGAAGGCAAGGTTGGCCTCCATCCCACAAAGAAATTACAACTTTTAACTGTCAAGAAATTGTTAAGCTCACAGAGCTCGGCTCATTGAGTTAGTAACTTTCTGATATTAGAACTCTGTGCTTCCTTCAGGTGAACACAAATCCAGACACGGATGCAGTAAACCATTCCAGTTTGAAGTGAAGCCAAAGTTAATTAAGGCACAGGCAAAGGAGACCTCAGAGGCCAGATTCTGTTCAACATCGAATCCCCTCAGTGATAGTTCTAAAATGTGTCACTCGGCTTATCACTGTCATTCAGCAAAGGTCTTCTTTGTCATTCTCCTAGCCTCCTATGAGCTGCCTCAAATTCTTTCCTCTCCACCTTAGGATAACTTAGTACATTTGCCTTGCTCTTATGCATGCCCATCTGCAAATACTTTCTACCATATCCTTTCCTTCACAAACCTTCCTTCCTGGTTCTCTTTCCTCCGAGTCTTCCAGAAGCTAGCTTCAATGGCTTGCTCCCCTCCTCGTGACTTCACTTCTTCTTTCATTTGCCAGCATTCGCCTCTCCATGTGCTTCTGTGCTGGGTCCTCGTCCCTTCTTACTGTCCCTTTAGGAATGACTTTATTCATGACAGTGGTTTTGACTCCAGAATCAATATGGCCAACCCAAGCTCATTCTTGCTCTAGATTCATATATCTACATTCCTGCCTGAGATTTCCAACTAACTCTCAAAGACCTTGCAAAAAAAACTGGTCCAAAACTCACTTTCTCTGTTGAACTTGTTCCTTCCCTCTTTTTTCTCTTTTCATGACAGATTATGTGTCATCTGTCTAGTTGCCTAGACAGAAAGCTATGAGTTATTCAAGTTTTCTTCCTTCTTCCTTCCCTGAAGGAAGACCTAAGACCTTCAACAATTGGACCTCCCCTGTCTACTCAATCCTCCAGTCCTGAGACTAAATTAAGACTCTCCCTTTATTCTTTCTCTATCCTCAAAGTGAGCCTCTTTGATTAGTCTCAAAGAACCTGGAGTTTCTAACTGCACACCTTTAATGCCAGCACTAGGGAGGCAGAGACAGAAGAATCATGAGTTCAAGGACTACATAACAATACTCTGTCTCAAAAAGAACATCTCCAGTTCTTCCCTATCCTTCTAGTGCCATGGTGCCCGTGATGCCTCTTTCCATATTTTTCAACTTTTTGGATCATCTTTTCTAATCAGTCAGACAAGCATTCCAAAGACAAGTTTTTTGCAGAAATCATAGGCATTGTTGTCAAGTAACATGGTCTGTGTGCTATGAAACATGCCTAAAAAGGAATATAATCAGATTAAACTGAATATAATCATTTTAAATAAGTGAATTTTATTTTATTTTTAGTACAAAATTATTTGTGCTAGATTAAGATAATGAGAATAAATAACTTTTTAAAAAATCTTGATTTAACACTTTAGGACTCTGGGACTGAAAAATCTAATATATTTATTCCAGTTCTCAATTTTTGTGGCTATCATAATTGTAAGAAATGCTGGAATAAATGCCCCACAGAGGTAAAATACAAAACGGACTTTATAATATGTACATAGGCAGATATTACCACTGACAATAGTAGATATCAGTCTATAATTCAAAGAAATGCTCTTGATACATTTAACTTTTTTAGCCAGCCTCATCAAAAATATAGCTAAGGAGATGATTGTTTTTGAGCTTCATCACATGTGAAAGACAAAGAACTTACACAAGGAGAGACATCTGCATTGCCATTTCTTATAGTCCTTTTACATTTGCATTATTTATTTCAGTATTATCTTTACCCCAAATATTATGTTTGCTATAGTAGCTTTAATCCAAGCCTCTTTGCAGATAACTTTTTAAGAGCTTGTCATGTTGTGAACATTAGTTTACTTAAAACAGAACCCAAAACAGTAGCAGTAACAACCCAGGATTCATGGAAAATACAGGAATAAGCCAAGTGACCATGCTGCTGCTAACATGAGCTTTCCTGTTCTTCCTTCAGAATGCCTCATTTAACATTTAAAGGACATGAGTGCACTTGTGTCACTCTGTAGGATAAAAATGCATAAAACCTCAATCCTTTTCATTTTAGACTTTAAAAAAAATGAATATACATACAAGTCCTGCTTGCTTCCTATGTCTCATGGGGTCATCTGGTTATCCCCGGGGGCACATACATCTCTGAAGGCCACTATTCTGTCAAGCTTCCAGATTTGTCTATGCAATGTGCAAACCTGTCACTCCAGTGCTTTCAAATCTTCAAGCAGTCCTCATTATCAACTGCACAGAAGCCAGAATTCCAATGGAAGTATGCACCTGCCCTGACTAGGCTGCACTACCTCTGCCATGGTACATCCTCCATCCAAGGCTGAGGTCATCCCCACTTCCAGTCACCATCTCTCTAAACACACCTCTGGGTCCTAGGACTAGTCTATTGTTTCCTTCTCAGTGCTCCATAACACAAGAGTCTCCAGTTGACCAATAAGCTGAGTGCTTCCTTCTTAGGGATTGTGACTTACCCACCCTGTGTCCAGTCCCTGCAGCTCAGAGCAGCAGCTGATTCCTGAATAAATAGCCATGTACCCTAAATGCCCATCTCAAGCCTATGCTGGGTTCAATAACCCTCTCCAACCTCTTCTTCTCTACCTAGCAAAGTCCTCCCATTATCAATGCTCCACCCCCATGTCGTCTCCTGCATGAACGTTTTGCCTTACCTCTCCAGTCACCCACTGCCCTCTCCCCATCAAAATCAAAACAGAACTGGAAGCAAGCAGGTCCTCCTTCCTGCGTACCCTAATAAACATCACATACACACACACACACACACACACACACACACACACAATGAGATTCTAAGCACAGCTTCCTGTTTAAAGCATTTGTTCCTTCAGAGCAAGAACTCTGTGGCTCTCAGCCAACTAGGTAAAGCACAGAATTATAGACACAGGAGCACAACGCAGCTGGGACAAAGGTGACAGGCCACCCAGCAGATGCTCGCCTGTCCTTTCAGATGAATTGAATCACAGAAATAAATGCATTTGGAGCAACATCAGAAATTATACATGAAAAGCAGACTGCTTCCTGCAGCGCACGTCTCCTGAGACCCAGTGCTGCTCTCCAGAGTTCCATTTTTGGCCTCGGTGCTCTACTGTAGGAGTGTCTGGGGTCTGTGTATAATTGGAAGCCTCAGCTCATTTTGATTAGCAATAGGGAAACGGGAAACATCCCATTTCTAATGCATACTTGTCACTCATCCAATCCATGTGGAATTTCAATACTCAGAAGCAGCTCCCTGGAGGAAGTAGGTCACTTGGAAACCAACATGGGCCCATGTTTCACTTAGGACAGCACTTGCCCAGTGTGCATTTATTTCTGTGATTCAATTCATCAGCACAAGACCATGAAGACTTTATCAAAACAGCTCCAGGGACCAAAGGAGCTGCATACATCACTTGTAAAAGACTATGACATAAAGTGTGAAGCCATTGTTAGTATTTTGCTGGTTCCTTGGGTTTAGAGTTGTGCTTTAAGACTGTGCTTCACAATACTTGGAGTAAAAATGGGGGTGGGAAAGGAGCAGGATGAAAGAAGAAAGATGACAATAGGCTGATATAGGAAAGGGACCACTCTAGCCAGTGCTGTCCTACCATGGTCCTTTTACAAACACACCAGGCTAGGGAGAGAGGAAAACCAGGAGACAACATTAAATATGAAGTGTAGTAAAATCCCCAAAGACCTAAGTCAGAATTTAACTGAGTCGCAGCCTCCCTAAGCCCAGTCACCAGGCTCCTGGAATAACAGTTCTTATCAATGAAGACACCATGTATGTATGAAAACACCTGTCAAATATTGGTGTTCCTTCAGTGAAACATTCTGTTCTGTGTGGATTTGCGTTTTACTTCCTCCTCCTAACGTGATTTTTTGTTTTTTACAAACATCACCAAGCCTAGAAGGTTTAATTTCCACTGCAGCTGTCTCCTGTCTTCCAAATTTCATTTGTTCTGCTAAAATGAAGTTGTTTACAAAGACATGTTGCTCAGAGCAGTTTTAGGTTGCTTTGGCACCCCTTTGTGGCATGTCTTGGGAATCGCATGTAAACTGGTCCCATTTTGCAAATTGCTTGTGTGTGTGTGTGTGTGTGTGTGTGTGCGCGCTCACTAACTGTATGCATCTTTCCTTCCCTTGTCCTCCCTGGGTCTACTTTTAGATTATCGCTTAAGGCAAAGTTTTTAAGTTTTAAGGTGGACTTTTGTATTTAAATATTGAAATAAAGTTCTAGTGGGTAGCATTTTTATATTGGGAATTGGTAGCAGATTGCAAAATTCTGTTTTCTACTTGATCTTTACTTTTCACAAAAGGAAACAGTTTATCCAAGTAAATGTTCATCACCACACCTGCAGTAATTTCCATATGACATATCACCTTCACTTTCCTACTTTTCTTTGGATTCTCACAACAACCCTGAAATAAACCTGGCCAGATATAATTGGCAGGTTTTGTACATGAGGCCTGGAGGGAGTTAGGAGTCTCCCCCAAACTGCACAATGGGAGATTAAGCCAGACATAGAACCCACAAGATTTTATATAGCCATTGAAACTTTTGTTGTTGCTACTTGTTTCTTTGTATAGGTTAGGGAAACTATACTGATCCCACATCCAAGGACAGGCTCTGAGGTACCTCATATAGGTGGAATTATACAGTATTTGTCTTTCTGTGGCTGGTTTATTTTACTTAGCATAATGTCTTCCAGGCTCAGCCATGATGTCCCAAATAGCAGGATTTCCTTCTTTTATATGGCTGAATAGTATTCTGTTGTATATGTGTACCACATTTTCCTTATCCATTCATCCCACTGATGGACTCTTGGCTATTGTGAATAATGCTGTAGTAAACATGGGAGTGCAGATGTCTTTTCAACACACTGATTTCATTCCTTTTTATTACATAGCCACCACCACATTTTATTTCTCCAGTCACCCATTGATGGATCCTGCTATGTCTTCTTTTAGAAGAACTCATGGTGTGATTTGTTGGGATGATAAGCAGAGAGCAAGAGTGGTCTTTGCTCTCTTAACCATCCAACAGCAAACAAGGAAGCTGTGGAAAGTCAATATACAGAGCATTTTGGCCAGAAAGTGAAGTAACAAAAGGACAGAAAGTTTTTTAAAAGTTAGGTGAGATTTCAGACTTTAAATTCTCCTCCCTAGCAGATAGACCAGACCAATTCTTCTCAGATCCCTCTATGTGTAGCTCTGGGAAACCTCTGATTTCTAAATATGAACAGTGAGTGGTGCTATCCAGGTTCTCTCTCCCCTGACAGTCACACAGTTTGATTCTACATCACAGTGACTGCATGTGACACTTTAATAGTTGTGAACAGCTGAGCTTTGAGGACCAGATGGTCAGAAGGAGTCTTTGGATAGTTACTACAAAGATCTTATAGCAGTACAGTACAAGTTGGTAAAGCACATAGGTTTGGTTTATAAGTTCACATCAGAGGCACTGGAGAATTTAGACACACACCAGCTTTGTTGGTTCTAATATTTGCCATCCAAGTCCTCACATTTCAGATGGGGAAATGAAAGCTAAAGGACCCCTTATACACTATTGATGAAAATGTAAATTAGTCCAGCTACTATGAAAATCTGTATGGAGGTGCCTCAAAAGATTCAAATGTAACAACTATGTAACTACTATATGGGTACATCCATGTACCACTGTTCCACTCCTGGGCATTCCTGAAGAAATGTTAGTCAACACATAATAGAAATACTTGCACACCCATGCGTATCACAGCACTATTCATAATAGCCAAACTATGGAATCAACCTAGGTGTCCATAACAGATGAATGGATAGAGAATGTGGTTTATATATACAGTAAAGTTTTATTCAGCCATTAAGGACCATGAAATTATGTCATTTACAAGCAAAATAAGTCAGACTCAAAAAAAGACAAGTATTACCTGTTTTCTCTCATATGAGGAATCTAATTTTTTTAAAAGACATGAAAGTAGAAGGAGGACTGTTAGAGGAAAAGGTTCGGTGGGGACAAGAGAGGGTAATGGGGTGATTATAATCAAAGTATATTATAGATATGGATGAAAATATCTTAAAGTGAAACATTTTTGGCATTGTGTAGTCAAAAACAGAGTTCCTGGGTGATCTTTGTTGAGACCACATATTATCATTACCATCCATCATTTATTGAGTGGCCTTGAGAAATCGTCAATCATCAACCTCATCTGTTAATTATGTCTCTGCCTTTTTTGGTCATGCAGATCTTGCTGGGTCAGAAATACAACCATTCTGTTGACTGGTGGTCCTTTGGTGTTCTTCTTTACGAGATGCTCATTGGTCAGTCACCTTTCCATGGGCAAGATGAAGAGGAGCTTTTCCACTCCATCCGTATGGACAATCCTTTTTATCCACGATGGCTTGAGAAGGAGGCCAAGGACCTTTTAGTGAAGGTGAGAAATGAAGGCAAGAAGGTTTTCACGAGATTTGTAGTAGTATTAGGGTCTCTACTCAGTATTTTCATTCATGTGTAGATTCTGACTTGTTCATAACAGAGTAATGAAACAAGAGATTTGTGTAAGCCTCCACTCAACCTTAGGTGTTTAACCAGGGGAGGGTGGGCGTTCTGGGTCCTTGTCTTACAAAGCCAAAGAATGAACTTTGTGGACAACGAAGGGTGAGCACACAGGTAGAAAAGTTTATTACAGGAAAGAATGAAAGCTCCTGAGGAAGGAGAGAAGTGACATGATCTGAGGTTTTTATCCATTTTTTCCAGGGTGTTGCTCGATCTTTATGCTAATTAGGTATGTAGAAAACAACATTCTGGCTGTGCTTGAATCGTTTGGATTGATCAGTCCTAATCCTCCCACGGTCCTTATTCTGATCCATCCTGCTTTTCCATCTTTCCACACTTCCAGGTCACAGGGAGGTCATAATGGAGGTTTTCATGGACCCTCTGTCTCAGTAACAGTGATTATATTGAGCGTGATTTAAGTGGGATACCTACCATCTGGTTCAACTGATGCACCAATACTGTGACCACTAGGTATCAAGATTCATTTTTAAGATAAACATTCTTGTGCACCATTTATAGAAGAAATGCCCAAAAATTACTTCTATGACTCTTGAATTCTCTTACTTGGATATATATAGTTAGTCTACTAAACAGCTACAGTTTGATTTAAAACTCAATCTTTAGTTTCCTGCATAACAAATATTCTATTCAGTTCATTTTCTCTGCCTCTGCTTGAAACCTTGGACATTGTTGTGATTAGACATGGTGTATGAATTTTCTGCTCACTCTCAGGTAAAAACAAACTTACTGTCCTTTAAGTCATAAACTCCTGACTCAATTGAAAAACTCTCCAGTCCAAGATAGCAGTCATCATGTCAATCTGGACATCAAAGCTAGGACTTCTGCTGCCTGTCTTCTGGTTGGAGAGCATAGTTGTTATCTGCTCACCTTTGGAGAAGTAGTTGTAGCCATGTTATGGTTGACTGTGCCTTGTTCTCTTCCTCCCAAGCTCTTGTGTCTCTGCTTCATACTGCACCAGGTAGAATGAGAGAAAAGATGGAAGGGCAAAGAGAAAGATTAGTTTTTATATGGCTGGGTGTCTTCACACTCTTTGAAGGTGGCAGATGGTAAAAGCTGAGACTTTTGTGAGGAACTACAGTAGGTTCTTTGGAAATATTTCATCTTGGGGACATTTGGCTGAAACCTTTGAGATATCAGCTAGTCAGACCATTTCCTAGCTGCACCAAAACTAAGCAGGCAACATTCTTTCCTACTTCTCGTTACCTTGCACAGCAGATTCTCTTAGGCATTACTTATGGAACTAATAGGTATAGGCAAGGACTTTCTCAATAGAACCCCAGCAGCTCAACAACTAAGAGATAGCCTAGATAAATGGGACTTCATAAAATTAAAAAACTTCTGCTCAACAAAAGAAATGGTCTCTAAACTGAAGAAACACCCACAGAGTGGGAGAAAATACTTGCCAGCTACACATCAGACAAAGGACTGATAATCAGAATATATAGGGAACTTAAAAAATGAAATTCTCCCAAAATTAATGAACCAATAAAGAAATGGGCAAGTGAACTAAACACAACTTTCTCAAAAGAAGAAATTCAAATGAGCAAAAAACACATGAAAAAATGCTCACCATCTTTAGCCATAAAGGAAATGCAAATTAAAACCACACTAAGATTCCACCTCACCCCTGTTAGAATAGCCATAATTAGCAACACCACCAACAACAGGTGTTGGGAAGGATGCAGAGAGAAAGGAACCCTTTTACACTGCTGGTGGGAATGCAAACTATTACAACCACTCTGGAAAAAAATTTGGAGGCTTCTTAAAAAAATCTAAACATAGATCTACCATATGATCCAGCAATACATGTGACACAGGTTACTCCAGAGGCACTTGCACACCCATGTTTATTGCAGCACTATTCACAATAGCCAAGTTATGGAAACAGCCAAGATGCCCCACTACTGATGAATGGATTAAGAAAATGTGGTATTTATACACAATGGAATTTTATGCAGCCATGAAGAAGAATGAAATCTTGCCATTCACAAGTAAATGGGTGGAACTGGAGAACATCATTCTGAGCGAGGTTAGCCTGGCCCAAAAGACCAAAAATTGTATGTTCTCCCTCATATGCAGACATTAGATCAAGGGCAAACACAACAATGGGATTGTACTTTGAGCACATGATAAAGCGAGAGCACACAAGGGAGGTATGAGGATAGGTAAGACACCCAAAAAACTAGATAGCATTTGTTGCCCTCAGTGCAGGGAAACTAATGCAGATACTTTAAAGCAACAGAGGCCAATAGGAGAAGGGGACCAGGAACTAGAGAAAAGGTTAGTTCAAGAAGAATTAATTTAGAAGTTAACACACATGTACAGGAAAGCAATGCGAGTCAACTCCCTGTATAGCTATCCTTATCTCAACTGGCAAAAACCCTTGGTCCTTCCTATTATTGCTTATACTCTCTCTTCAACAAAATTAGAGACAAGAGCAAAATAGTTTCTGCCTTGTAGCAAGAGGGTGGGAGGAGAGGGAGGGGGTGGGGTAGGTAAGGGAGGGGTTGGGGAGAAGGGGGGAGAAATGACCCAAACATTGTATGCACATATGAATTTAAAAAAACCCTAAAAGAAAATGAATAGGTAAACTCTTCCTCCATCCCCTACACACTTTAGAACTGTTGTGCACTAGAAATATTGATGCATCCTTCATCCTAACAAAGTTTGAGAGGGAACGCTATTCCCATCTTAGCAGCAATGTCCAGAATTCGTCATTAAAGCAGAAGTCTGATACCCACCCGTGATAACCCAAGATACATTAAAAATTGGTGTAGAGTGCTATAGATGGAAACTCAGCTCTGAGAATCACAGCTATGAACAGCCAATCAAACCAAAGTAGACGCAGAACACCTTGGAGCCATCATTAAGGATCAGGACTTTAGGTAGACTCCTAGTCTTTTTGTTGAGAATGCAAAAACACTACCCATAATACATGAGTATAACAAGTTGTAAAATTAAAATGAACTATGCCAATACCACATGACAAATACATGTGAGAGTGATAAGCCCCTACATTTTTTTTTACTGTCTTCCCAACAAATATTTGAATCACTGGTATAATCAGGAGCCTAACAAATCTAAAAGAAGTGGACCAAGAATATAGGTGCTTTGGAAGAAGCATTGTTTTGACTTCTAGAATATCATGTCACCAGTTTAAAAATTATTATTTAGGCAAATGATTTTTAGCCTTGCTCTCGCTACAGTAAAGATGGAAATAGGATAAGATCCTGCAATGTCAAAAGCAATTCATGGTTTTAAGTCAAAATGTAGAAAAATATTTCCAGGCCCATCTTCTTTCACTCGTTCTTTTTCTCTTGAAGAACTGGATAGAATTAAATTTAAAGGGCATTATATTTCACCTTCTCTAACACAATTAACAATTTGTCTAAGTTATTAGGAATTTTGAGGTAACTCCAGAACTCTTCTCAAGAATAAAGATCTTGAATCTGAGAGGTGATGGAAAAACCCTCACAGAATACTCCAAGGTTAATGGAACTAGGTATTTCAAAATCTGAGCCTGTTTCAGCTTTCACTTGCTGACTATAAGCCAAAAAAGCAATAAACTTAGAAAACTCCCCGAACAACCAATTAAATTCACTTTTAATGACTAAACAAAACACATGTAAAATGAGAGCTAATTTAAAAATTAACCAATAAAAATGATGACAGCAATAAAAAATAAGCTAGTAGGAGTTGAGTATAAACAACTTTACTTTGTATATCGTATACTGGAAATTTCAAGCATTATTGAAATTGCTACATTTATTTTGCATTTGGATCTACGAAGGACTAGATTTTTAAGAACTCAGTTTTACTTTACTCAAATACAAGTTCAAATATTACTTATAATTGCTGTGTTTACTTTACATTTGGTCCTGTGAGGAACTCAATAAATTGTACATGTCAGCTAAAGCTACTAAAACAAGATGTACCAAAACTAATTAGGCAACACTCTTTCCTACTATTTATTCCTTGCTTACAAGATTGTCTTTGGCAGTACTTAAAATACATACAATAAGATCTCCCCCCAACTTGACCTGCCTTTTGTCCACTGAAAACACGGGTTCATCCTTCACCTTGAGTGACTTAACACAGACATTTATTTCTCACAGTTCTGGAGTCTGGAAGTCCAAGATCAAAGTTTACCAGGATTGGTTCCTGGTGATGGCTCTTGGCTGGTAGATGGTTACCCTCTTGCTCCTTACGTAGTAGAATAAGGAGGTAGGCTGAGGGGGAGAGGAAGAGGGAAAGAGCACGTACTCCACTGTCTCTTTCTTACAAGGAAACTAATGTTATTGGATCAAGGTTCTACCTTATGGCCCCATTTAACCTTAATTAGTTCCCTAAAGTCCCTGCCTGCAATCATTTTAGTGGTTAGGGCTTTAACATGTGAACTTTGAGGGAACACAACTCAGTCCTTAGCATGTCTACTACACTGAGAAACCTGGCCCAGCAAAGCCATGGGGAAAGAAAAATGAAGAAAAGATTTGGTCTGCACCATCTGAGGCTGAGGCGCCTTGAATCAGAGACTGTAGTTGCAACCCCCACACCTGTTGATGCTTCATCAAAACCAGCCTTCCCACTGTGCCCTGCACACTCAGTTTAACTTCAGGACCCTGGATACCTTAAGACAAGGATGGAGAATGAGAGAGGCACCAAGGCCAGGTGGAATCGACCAGAAGGAACTCTGAAAAAAAGTTGGATGTGATGATTTCCAAGATAAGAATGACTGGATAAGAAGAAAGGTTTGTTTCCAGTTACACAGAAATCCACTCAGCAATGACTAGGAACAAAATGTTGATACCCCAAACAACATGAATGGATCTTAAGGGCAGAAAGCCAATTCACAAAGGTGATATACTCTAAGAGTCCACTTATATAACATCATTGAAATGATAACATTGTAGAATTGGAAATCAGGTTCATGGTTGCCAGGGGCTTGGGGACTTGGGGCAGGAGAGTGGCTGTGACTACATAGGGGTAGAAAGAGAAAGATCTCTTTGGCGACAGGACTGCTCATATTTTGCTTGTTGTGGTGATGCCACATATCCACACATGTGCCTAGAACATTGACTGGTTGCCAGATCCTGATTTTGACATTGTGCCATCATTGTGTGAGACATAACTATTGGAGGAGGCTGGCTGGAAGGCACAAGGTAGCTCTGTACTTGCTTTTCAATGTCCAATGAATCTGCCATTATTTCAAAAGAAAAAGCTTAAACAAAAAAGTAAATATAAGGCTAAATGACATGCAAATAAATAATAACGACATCAGCTGAGTGTCAATGGCAGAAGAATGATTTGCCATGAGAGTAGAAAATAAATTTGCATGAATAGAGCAGAAACCAAGACAAATAAAGACTTTTACAAAAGGAAAACTTTTAGGTGAGAGAGGTTTTTAAAACTCTTAGAACTTTGAGCTTGTTATTTTCCACATGAGTTAATAAAAATTCCACGTCCTTTCTCTTGCATGCATTTCAACAGTTGGGCTGATAAGAGTTAGTTTCCATTAGACAATTTGCCACCAATAAACCTGTCTTCCAGTCTAATCTCTACTCCCCTGTTGCTTTATAACTTTGATCCAACAGACCTCACAAAAAAGAGTTTTGCAAATATCGAAAGCCATACCATTTCCCAGAAATTTCCTGTAGGGAGGTGTGTGTAACATTGTGAAAGCCAGAAGCCATGGGTCCTCTGGAAAAGTTAAATAAGGCAGCATTTCATGACATCTACTGTAGTGTGACTACCAGCTTCTGTCCCCTTGAGCCCTCACAGGACGTGGGCTTACGTAACACACTGAGCAATTGCACTCAGGAGAGGCTGTGCTCCATCGTGCATCACAGCTGGGACACTTCATCCCCATTTATTCATCCAGGATATCCTGTCTGTTTGTTTGAAAGTGATGGAAAACTGATGGCCTTGAACAGATATGCACCTCCCTTTTCATAGAAATCTATGCCTGAGGAGGGACTGAAGAGGGAGGGTGGATTCCAGGTACAACCTGTCACAGCCATTGGTGGCCATCTTCCAGCAGCTAGGAACTGCTTTCTAGCCCCAACTGTCAAAGAAATTTAAACAAATTCCAACTATATCCTGTCCATTTACATAAGAGTGTGCTATTTCCTATCAATGTAAACCACCCTTCCGAGAGCTTTTCCAGGCAAAAGCAAGCCTTTCTTCATTTCCTCAGTGTGCCTTTCTTGCCGCAGAGTCATTGACCTTGGCTTCCTTGAGCCATTGACCTTGGCTTCTGCAGGACTAGTCACCCTTCAAACTGTGGTTGGATCAGTTTGCTGCAGGGATAAAATCTAACACTTCACTGTTCTGTATAAAACTAGACAAAACATTGAACTTTGGAGCTGGAGATCAGATTTTCTCTTTACCTATTTTACTTTTAAAAATATTTTTATTACACAGGTACGGAATGCTCAGAAGGCTCTTTGTTATGATTATCTTGGTCCAAATGCCCCATATTTGCTGAAAAATCTAATTGAAAACCTGCCTGGTGCACACTTTGCCTGGGGAAGTTACTTCTAACTTCATTCCCTGAAGCATTTCATTATAACAGCATCAGCCACTTTGGGGCCCATTCTTGAGACACTTAAGCCTTCTATCTAATCTTGTTTCTTCCAAATATCCTTAAGAGGTGGAGGTCAATCATTTATTATGATCATTTCCAGAGAAGAAATATGGGGCAAGTCACTTATCTCTCTGCTTCTTAAAAAAAAAAATCAATCTGCTTTTTCATCTGTTGTCTCATTGGTTTTTGAGTCCACAAAAAAGTATAGCTGTGAACTTGGTGCCTTTCCTGTATGCTGAAAACAAGAGGCTGGTAGAATCTGAGGATAGAAGATGTGTGATCTGCAGATAAAAGGGAAAGACTGAATCCCTGAGCTAAAATAAAACTTTGCTCTTTTTTAAGTTGATTATCTCAGGTATTTTGTTGCAGTTATGGACAGCTGACTAACCCAAAGACATTGAAACTAGAAAAACTTATTCAAGATCAAATGGATAGTAAATCCTTTGGATAACGGCCTCCTGTTATTTCCTCTGTGCAGTGGTTTTCATAATCAGGGGCTCTGGAAGCCCAGGATTGCACAGAGTCCTCCATGCCCACCATATGATAAGGGGGAGAGAGGCAGTTAGATGCCAGGGACTTAGCAGTTGTATATTCTCGGCAGTTGTATGAACATTGCTCTTAGAACTTTAAAACAGATTCTCCTACTTTAGCAAAAAGAAAAAAAAGCTCCACTTTGCTACGCATGTTGTTTGGTCATTATGTTTTTGGTACAGCAGAGCCTCTGAAGATGTTCCTGTAGTCAACAATATCATAAGTAAAGCAGTGTTTTACAACACAGAGACAGGCTATACTGATAAGCGGTAAAAGCAAGAGATGAAGGTCAGGTCCTTGTTGGAGCCTCCTGGAAAATCCCTGCATTTCACCACATATTCTGTTTTAAATATCTATGGCCTCCTTAAAACATGCTGCTCTTTATAAACAAATATCTAGCTGACTAGGAATAGGGGTGACTACTCCAGACACCCAGAGGACCTCCAGCATCAGATGAAGTAACAGGAGAGAGAAAGAGAGGACAGTGCAAAGAGGAAAACCCATCTGTACCGGCTCAGAGGATCTAAGGAATGGAATTAGGATTAAGTATTACTCACCCGGCAGGTCTGCAGAAGGCAAAAGTGATTCTGTATTAAGATGCCTGCGGAATCCTGAGCTGACTGCCCGGGACTAGTGGCTATTTTACCCATGTTCCATGATGCTGGACTCCTAAGAAGGCACCTTTGAAGAAGTCATACTTGACTGAGAGGCAATCAGTCCAAATAAATTAATCACTTGCTCTATGCTATTGGGTTTTTCAGAGAAGTATTTATAGTACGTAAACTTGTATGGGGGATATGTGCGTGTGTCTTTATATGTGTGTGTACATGCATGTGTGTATGCCTATCCATGTGCATACATGTGCATATATATGTGTGTACATATATATATGTACATGCAGTGGTATGCATGTATGGATGCCTGTCTGTGTGAGGGTGCATTGTGTCTTTCATGTGTGTACATTGTGTGTACATGTGTGTAAGTTGTTGTTTCATTTAACCTTCAAAGCAGCCCTAGGAGAAGGGCACTTGCCTCACTTTACAGATGGGGAAACTGACTCAGGGTTCTGTCCCTTGCAAAGGATCCATAAATAACCCAGAGCAAAGCTGACCTCATGCCAGGTCTAGCTAATTGGAAATGTAGCATGTCTAGTGAAAAGAATAAGGAAGTCAAAGCCCGGACTCCGAACTGGCTCATTCAGGAAGAGTGTCAGAGCCAATCTGACCCTTGTCCATCTTCATAAAGGCAAGTAGAAAAATAAGTTTAGAAAAGCGAGAGACTTGTACACTGACAAATATAATACTGCCTGATGCTAATTGTTTCATCCCTGAAGAAGTAAACTGTCCCCTTTCTGCTCCTCTTCAGCTTTTTGTGAGAGAACCTGAAAAGAGGCTTGGAGTGAGGGGAGACATCCGCCAGCATCCTTTATTTCGGGAGATCAATTGGGAAGAACTTGAGAAAAAGGAAATCGACCCTCCATTCAGGCCTAAAGTGGTAGGAACTCCCCGATAGGGTGGTTTGATTTCTCCTTCCCTCACAAACTGTTGGCCAGATCAAGTAACAGATGCTCTGCACCCCTGCCCAGTCCCCACTTCCATCCAGCCCCCTCCCCAGGTACATTGTATTTCTTCAACACAGGCCATTTGGCTGGGGGCAGGGCGTGTTGGTCTTTCTTACAAAATTTAACCCCTGTGGCCAAAATGCACCGCATGAAGAATGAATTATTGGGTGTTCTTGGGTTGAATATGTATTCAGGTGGCTGTCAAATGAGATGGAGTTTGGGCACACAATACACACATGCTTAATGGGCACAGTCTGGCTGACCCACACTTGTGCATAAACTCTGCATCCTACATGAGGAACTTTGAAGCCATTAACTTCCATGATATTTATTCAAGTTTACTAAACATTTGCAATGTGTTAATGCAACTGCATTCCCTAATGGCAATCATCGGGTGTTCTTCAGTTTAAGGAAGAAAAAATATATCAGTGTTAAGAAAAAGATAGGTCTTTATATTTCCATATGTAGATGCAACAGCAGAAGTCACTAGCCTACATCAGAAAGGCCAGGACAACCTGGCTACACACAGAATGAACCATCCTAAAGTGAAGACAAATGTAAAACAATGTTAAGATGGTGGTGGTTGTACAACAATGTGAATGTGTATAATGCCACTGAACTGCACACTGAAAATTAGAAAATTTTATGTTATATATGCTTTATCTCAGTTTTTAAAAATAAGTAATTTTTTTTCAGTAGAGTGGTAAATTTGCTTATTTTAACACTGGTGATTGCTTGGAATCTGGTAGTAATTACCTGGCTAGACATGGAATATCTCTATAAAGACTTTGCTGAAACAGCAAGGCCTCATGGGTCTCACAGCAAAGGTTGCATTCACCCTAGAAAAAAGTCAACCAACACTATAGTGAAGGGCTGCAAAACACAAATGCACCTTTTCCCAGGATTGGAATTGTCATTCTAAACATTTGTCCCAAGCGCTAAGGATATTTAACCAACTGGCCTCTAACACTCTGATTAGTTATAACAATATCATATCTAATACATGATTTATCATTTTCACTTTATTTAAGCTATCAGAACAACTTAATTCATGCCCGACCTTCTACTGCAGATTAAAAGTGATTTGATTCCACATAAAAATTAGAACTTTGTGCTCAGCGTGGTGCACTGGAGTTGGGGACAGGAAGATAGAGGTTTGAGGCTATCCCAGGCAAAGTTAGTATGAGACCCTATCTGAAAAACAAAGCAAAAATAAAAGGGCTTGGGGGCATAATCAATTGGTAGAATGCCTACCTAACAAGCACAAAGCCCTGAGTTCATTCCCTAGTACCACACATGCAAAAAGAAATCATAATTTTTATATAAGCTTACCTTGTTCAAGAATTCCCAGTTCTGCCAATAGAAAGGAATAGTTCTTTGCAGACAGGGACTATGAGCCATTGCTTCTTCAGCCCTGGCCCTTGGAGGCTGAAGCACCTAATCTAAGTTATGCTTATGTGTGCTCATATGACTTTCTTTTGTAAATGGTTATTCCCATAGTCCAAAGCTGAAGTGCATACCATACCAATCAGGATTTATGGTTAGTTATTTGTTTTTCCTTGCTCTCATTCTCTCTTTTTTGGTCATGAGAACCAATGAACCAGAAGGTTGAAAAGAGTTCATCCCAGTCTGTGTTGTCTACGGAAGACAGTCTATCATGTGTAGTAATAAAATTAATGTGGATAGAGAAACCAATAATAGCAAAGAATGTTGATAAAAGAACAGGAGAATACAATTATTAATGTCCCTTCCCACCTCCCTTCCCTCAGCCTCCACCCTACCTTCCAGGCTAACCTCCTCCGATATAGACTAAAAGGACCAAGCTCAAATTTGGACTCACCACTTTTCCAAAGGTCCCCAGTCTTTCTTCACATAAATTAGAAAGTAGGAGCATTATATACCCTATTGAATGTAACAGTGCAGTTCCTTTATAGGAATTTAATTTGACTACTAAAAGCCGGTGATTCAAGATCATACAGATGCCCAATACAAATCATTCATGGTAATCTCCAAGCACTACTTCAGCTTAATTTATCTGCACACGCCAGCATTGTCATAGACAGATTATAGCCTAGATAACTAAAATTAAGATTATGAATTTAGTGGCTAATATTCTTCTCTTTTTCTCCCCCCTCAACTCTGACCAAGAAATCACCATATGACTATAGCAATTTTGACAAAGAATTCCTAAGCGAGAAACCCCGGCTGTCATTCGCTGACAGAGCACTGATCAACAGCATGGACCAAAATATGTTTAGGAACTTCTCTTTCATTAACCCAGGGATGGAGGGGTTCATCTCCTGAGCCTCAGCTCTTCACAGACTGAAGGAATTCACCTTCTTGTGGGAACCGGCTCAAGCAACACTTTTTGGGTCCTTTTTTTGAAGTTGGAAGAGAAAAGAAACACTCAACAGTAAAGACTGAAAACTGTTAGCAACTCATGTGACTTTTTATCTGTAGCAGAAACCAACTCTACTTCACTAACGACAACACCCTGTCTTATCTCCTGGCATTTTTCACAGACACCCTTAAAGTTAGGTCATTAATAACCCTAGTTATGTACTTGAAAAATGGATGTCCATACTGTGAAAGATTTGAAACTTAATACTGCTCTAAATTATGACTCTATCCATGGGTACCAACTGCTGATCAATGAAATTCTTGGTGAATCAAGGAGTGAATGTAAACAACTTCTCAAGACTGAAACAGCCCATTGCTTGGTGCAGCATGGATCCCACTCAGCCACAGACAAACAGCCACTAACCATTTCATTCTGCATATACCTGTGGAGGTATAAATGACTTGAGGGGAGCTGAATAGGTTTTTATGGGATTTTCACAATAAACATAGCTTGTAACTTGAGATTTACAAATCTGATCATTGGTTAGCCATGAAATGTACAGGAAAAGAGGAAAATAGCAAATGGAGAGAGCTCATGTCAATGATAGGGAAGGTTGGCTAGAACACCTATGCAGGATATCTTGTCCACATAGAAATATAAGTTTACAGTCCAAAAAAGATAGTAATCTTTCGTTCCTGCCAATAAAACTCTGCTTTCTATCTATTCTCAGTTGATTTCAATGTCAGTGTAGTCATTCATTACCATCCTCACATCATGACAAGAAAAAAAAATGAAGTTCACAATTCTTCTAAGATAAAAGCAAACCAATCCCTTATCATACCATTACTGGTGATTTGATGCCAAGTCTCTTTAGGCATTATTCGAGATAAAGACCCATGCATATTATTTGCAGCAGTCGATCTCATTTAATTAGAATTCTAACTATATATTTGAAAGTATTTGTGTTGTTTGTATATTTTGGTAAAATGTGACTTAATGACAAAAGCAGATGTAAAAATGGAATTAAAAAACAAAAGATGCCTCTTAATAGTTTAATTGTTTCTGTCATATTGATCATCAAAATTTAGCCCAGCATTGAGTTGATGTTGTAAAATTTGGGAATCGTAAAAAAAAATCCCCAAATGGATGAGCCATTCAGGTAACTCATAATTACTGATATTATATTCCTCTTTCCCCTGAAGGAGTAGTCTACACGTGTTGCCCTCAGACTTCTGCTGGCCTCTCTTCCTCCAAAGCTAACCTCTTCACAGCCCTGTGGAATGTTCTCATTCTTCATCCACCTTTTTGCAGGTTCTATTTTTTCTGTACAGGAAGTGTTACCCCTGGATGTGGTTTTCCAGATGTTGCTTGGTTTGGGAGGTACAAAATCTAAGATTAGGACACTGCCCCTCATGCAGCAAATGACCCTCAATTAGTAGGACAATAGCAAGGAATGATTAACAAAGTGGATGTGCACCTTGAAATGAGCTGGGTAGTTTGGAGAAGAATTGACCACCACAGAGCTGTTGGGATCTGAGGTTTTACTACCCAATTGGGTGGGGTTACTCGGTGGTACAAAATTGAGGTCCTTCCATTAGAACACCTCTCCAAATAGTTTGTCAACTGTGCAGTAGCTGTCCCACTGTGGGAAGTCATACACCAGGGCTTTTGAGAAGATGAGGGCAGGTGCCTGCTCATTTGAATCATTTTGCCCTTCCTTGTTTAGCACCATTAGTAGAAGGTCATAGTGGTCACTGCAGCCTCAAGATGCTTGTGTGAGCTTGATGATGGACTATGTTCCCTAAAAAGAATATAGAGCCACCATCTTAATCATTGATCCAGGGTGTGCGCCATCTGGTTTTATCACTCTGCCACTGAAAAGGGGAATGGAATCTTGCAGCCTGGGGCAGTTCTTCTTGTCTGCCTAGCTCTCTTTGATCTCTCTCCTTTGGGTCTCCTGACAGAAATTTTCCTGTGTCCTCTTTGTCTGTGCTTAGGCTTCTTCTGGCTCTCTTCCCTCCTTCTATCCCAAATCTCTCCCAAAGAACCATTTCGATCCATTTTGAATTGATTTTTATACAGAGTGAGAGTTGGGAATCTAGTTTCAGTCTTTTACATCTGGATATCCAGTTTTCTCAGAAGGTTTTTTTTTTTCCCCAGTGTATGTTTTAACAACTGTGTTAAGAGTCAGATGGCTGTAGCTGCATGGGCTTAATTCTGGTTCTTTTAATGCAGTCCATTGGTCTATGTGTCTGTTTTCATGCCAGTACCATGGTGTTTTTGTTACTGTGGATCTATATAGTATAGCATGAAGTCAGATATTGTGATACCTCCAACATTGTTCTTTTTGCTCAGATTTGCTTTGACTGTTGGGGGGGTCTTCTGTTTTTCCATAACAATTTTTGCACTTTTTATATTTTTGTAAAGAATGTCACTAGGATTTTGATGGGGATTGCATTGGATCTGTATATCACTTTTAGTAATACAGCCATTTTATATTATTGTTTCTGCAGATCGATGCACAAGAAAGGTGTGGCCAGTTTCTTTTGTCTTCTTCAATTTCCTTCTTCATTCTTTTATAGTTTTCATTATGGAAGTCTTTGAGTATAGGTTGTTTTCAAGCAAGTTTGGCCCACTCTTGCCTTTCCAGCTTCTGCTAGAGGATGATGAATCATGAAGGCTCTGACCAGATACTGGCACCATGCTCTTATATTTCCCAGCCTCCAGAACCATGATCAAATAAATTTCTTTTCTTTATATATTATCTAGTCTCAGGTAGTTTGTTATGGTAGCAAAAAATGGATTAAGGCACACTTTATAGTAGATTGAATGGTAGCCTTTCAAAAAATACATCTACCTGAAACCTGTGAATTCAATCTTATTTGGAAAAGGGGTCTTTGCAGATGTAAAGGATATTAAGATGAGCTCATTCTGGACTATAATGGGTAAGCCCTAAATTTAATGACAGGTGTCTTTATGAAAGGAAGAGGAGACTTAATGCAGACACACAGTGCAAAAGGCCATGTGAAGACAGAGGCAGAAATAGGAGTGATTCAGCTACAGTCTAGGAATACTTGAAGCCTCGGAATTTGGAGGATACAAGGAAGGATTCTCCCCCCAGAGCCTTTGGGGACAATATGAGTCTGCAAACACCTTGATTTGAGGCTTCTATTCCCCAGAAATGTCAGAAAATAAATTTCTGTTGTTTATGGTCATTTGTTATAGCAGCCACAGGACACTCATAAACACTGTTCAATGAAATCAGCAGGGAGTTCGCACAAGGCTATGGTAAATTTGTGTGTTCCTGCCCACTGCAGACAGCCACCACCTGTACAAAGACGGGACATCACATTCCTTTCTAGCTCTCTCGTGGCTTGTCCTGTGACATAATTTCCCATAATCTCTGAACTTTGTGTCTATGTTAATTTCCCATGTGGTTCTTACTCTCTTTGCACTTTTTCTGCTCATTTTTCTGCTTTTTCCCATTGTATTTCTCTTACTAAAATATTATAGTTTTTTCACACAAAATGAAAGCTTTTTTTTTTTTTTTTGCTCTACTGGGGTTTAAACTCAGGGCTTCACATTTATGAGGCAGTCACTTGAGCCACACCTCTAGCCCTGAAGCTTTTTTATTCTTCCTAGAGATGAAACATCTACATGTAGCCAGAGTCCTCTATCACCTTTCAGTTCATTTATTTTCACCCTCCCTCTTGGTTCTATTTTTCTTTTTTTTTTTTGGTGGTACTGGGGCTTGAACTCAGGGCTTCACACTTGCAAGTCAGGTGCTCTCCCACTTGAGCTACTCTGCCAGCCCTCTGACTCTTGGTTCTAAACTGCTACTTTTCTTTGTTTTCTTTGGAGTTGAGCCCAATCTCTCTCCCCAACTACAAAACCCCACCAAGGGAGTTCCTTTGAATAAAGTCGCCTTTATCACTTTTATAAATGTCAGGATTTTTTTTTCTTCAACAGGGCTAAGATCTCAGTCTTAGCATTACGAGGGCATTGGGATTACAATGAGTTTAGTTTCCCCCCTGAGGCCAGAACTGCTTCTACGCAATCCTGAAAGATTGTTGCCCTCTGTTGAAAACATACTTGCTGAGAAGAAATACAGGACTGATGATCCAGTCCAGAATCTGAGAGGTGCTGGGTGTGTGTGATTGTGCAGTGCAGTAGAAAGAAGGCAGGCTTGGGAACCACAAACACCTGCATTTAAACCCTGGCTCAACCGTTTACTAACTTTGCAGCATGGAGAAAGAAGCCTCTTGCCTTTCTGAATGACGTTTTCTCACCTGTAAAATGGAGCCAATAATTCATAACATAGAACTCATTGTCTATATTATGGAGGCCTTTAGATATCTTGTGTTGTGTTGTTATGAGGATAAGAGTTACTGCATGGGAAATGCCCAGCACAGTGGAGGAAATTAGTGGATGCTTCCTAAATAAAATTATTGTGATATTCTTAAGCTGGTCACAGGCCTGAAAAATGATAGATAGATAGATAGATAGATAGATCATTTGAGATATATCTGGTGTGTCTTAGCCACGTTAGTAATAATGGAAATAATGCTAGATAACCTCTTGTAAGTTATTCAAAAGCAGCCTCTGTATATTGAAAGCACTGAGACCCACCCTTCCAAAGACCCCACCCTTGAAATATGGAAGATGTATTATATAAAATATTGTACCAATGAAAATGTGTAAAGTTTGCAACAGCAGTAATTTGTAAGAGATTATGCTCATTCTCAGGAAATGTACACTGAGTATAAAGATTCATGTTGTATGTTACTCAAATAGTTCAAAAAATGTCAAGAGAACAAATGATAAAACACGAGCAAAATGTGAAAGGTTGTGTTATTGTTTTTACTTTTGAATTCTTTTTATATTTGAAATTATTTCCATATAAAAAAGCATTCTGTTTATCACATAGTCATTAATAACAGAAGAAATTGGTCCTTTCATATTGCCCTAAATGCTTCCTTGACTTGCTTCTACATTGAAAGTGGCCATGCATCACCATGCATGTACTGTAATGTCTACAGTAGAGGCATGTGGAGCTTCCCTGTGCTGTCCACACAGATACACCCCTGCCCAATGTATGGATCTCCAAGCCTCATAAATATCTCTCACATCTGTCCTCTTCCCTCCATCCCCACCACTAATTTTTCTGCTTAGACCCACTACTCATTTTCTGCTACCTGGATCAAAATGAGAGCCTCCTAACAAATCTGTCAGCCAGAATATCAATTCCTGAGCCAGCCTCCTGGCCCCTCAAAGTCTCTCTATCAGGCTAACCTGATTTTTTATTCCTATTTCTCTCTCCTAAATCCTTTTAGCAAGGATTCTGATCTATATAAACACAGTTTGTCATACTATATCAAAAGGATTCCAGACTCCTTAAAGCCCCTTCACTGACCTGAAGTCAATAACCCCAAGATTTATGGTTTCCCATTCCCCTCAGGACAAAATCCCAACTCCAAAGCAAACAGTGGCCTTCACATTTGGGACCTACCTTCTTCTCAGCCTCATTTTCCACTCTTCAACTCACCTCTATTTCAGGCACTGGCGGTCCTGTGCTCTTGCAGCCTCATGGTTTTTAAACACTTCAACACGTCTGAAGTGGTTTTGCCAGTTCCCAACCATCCTTCAGCTCTCAATCCAAAATCACCTTGTATGGGAAATATTTCCTAACCCAATCTGGCCAAATTACTGGCCCTTGTTTCATGCCTTGACATCCCTCCACACAGCTCTCTCATGGCACTTCTTTCACTGGACTATTTCTGTACTTGGCACA